AATGTCTGGAGAGATCATTTGGTAGGTTTCCAATGCAGTAGATTAAGTTCACTTTTGTTCTCTGTTAATAGTTTTGCATGTTTGAGTAACTTTTTCGTTGCATGACTTGTAAGCTGAGCCACAGCCAGCTTCATTTTATTGAAGGAAGATACACACTGGCCCAAAGAATAACATCTGTGAAGAGCATTTGAAAGAACTGTTTAGTGTAATGAAAAGGTGGCTTGAAGGAGACATCACAAACAGTTTCAAATAAATGAAGATTAGTCAGCAGAAGAATAGAAACTCGCTGTTCTCCACACCCTATGAGGACAGGGCAAAAAGCAGTCAAGAAAAAGGACGTGAACAAGGAATCTGAAACGAAATATTCATAAACTATTTTATAACAGAAACATAGTTAAATATAGGAATAATTTACATAGGAAAGTTGTTGAACTTCTGTTACTGAAGTATTTAAGTGGACTAGAACACTGTCCTTTGGAACAGCTTTGCTAACATCAAACTATCAAGATATCTTCTAGCTCTGTTTTCTATTTATCTCAGGTTAAATACAGCCAGTACCAGGATAAGTTATAACCATGCACAGAGTTTGTAAACTTGTTAATTCTGTGTTGAAGATGTAAGATTAGATCCTGATCAATTATTTTATTTTCCTGGATTTCAGGTGAGAGCCATAGCATTGCAATGGGCAAACGCGTGTTCAAAAGATGTTCAGCTGCATAGGAGAAAGTAGGTGTCATGCTGAGAATCTTTCTCTGCTATCAGCAAAGCTCCAAGTAACAGTACCAAGGACTAGATTACAGAGAAAAGAAAAATATTGTATGGCAAGAAAGTTGTTGTCATTCTCAGTGGGACTATTCAACACAAACAAATACAAATCAGAAAGGCTAGATACATGTGCATAAACACAGTTATTTCATATATATGAAAATATATGAACTTATTTATGTTCATCTTGTATTGTTATAAATTATTGAATATGGCATTACCTACTAAAGTTTGTGAAAGGGTAATATGCTCTAATAATGCTGGGTTAAAAAGGCAAAATGACAAATCCTCTTTTTTTTCTTTAGCTGTAAATCCACCTATAAACTACACTAGGAAATACTTTTCCCACAAGTTTTTGTGAGTTGTGTCATTTTTTGTGTCATTTTGTACAAATAATTCTAACTAGATAAGATGATTGTGATAATTTCAAATATTAAATTACTAGCATGCATATATTGATAAACAAAATACAAAGATTTTTTTCTTCTGAAGGCATTACAATAATTGTTTTCTTTATAAATGTTAATCTCTAGAAAAAGACTTAAAAGAATGGAAAAAGAAGAGGTCTGATATCAAGGTTCTTAATGGCATGAAGCAAAGTGAACAAGAGGATACTTAATTTCAGTATGTGCAAAAAAAGTAAAGAAAATACAATGCAACTGAATACCTAAGGATTATTTTTTTTTACAAGCTTAATAAAAGACTAAATAGAACTCTTGGATAAAGGAACTTAAAAACCTATTTTGATTATTTTAAAATCAGAAGTCCAGTGGAACATTCAACATTATGTACAAAATCATTCTAGTACTCTGAAATTCCCATATTACTGCAAAAATTATTCACCATCTACTTTTGCAGTAATGTTGGGGGTTCCCACATACCTGTGGAATATTTCTTTCTCTTGCAAATATGACTAATAATACCAATTTCCTTCTCTAATTCTAGGAAGTCTTATAACTGCAAAGTAATTACCATGTGCTTAGCAACATTGATTCATCCTAATAGAGTCATAGAAGATGTAGTGGTTAAATGTTATTCATTTTGGTTTCTTAAAAGTGAAGTCCTCGTGGGTATATTTGAGTTCATGATGTAAATTGAATAATTGAAGCAAATGATCTTAAATGCTTCAGATAAAGTACATGAGGCTAGCAGAGACTTATCAGTATTCATAATTCAGGGGAATAGATTGTTAGAGAGCTAATGAAAAGCTTCTTATCTTTATGTTGTATGGATTTACTAAAAGCCTAACAGAGATTGAATATGTCTGACTTCCAGCAATTTATTCAAGGAGCTTTACTATTCCTATTATGCAACACATTATAACATGCAGCTACAACACACTGATATCCTTAAGCAGTTCAACATAAGAGAAGTTATGAGAAATAAAGCTCTTATGAAATGTAGTGGAGCAAACAGAGTTCAAGTTCAGAAGAACTGAAGGAAGGAGCAGGCAGTAGTAATCTTAGATAAGTGACAATGACACTACCACAGTCTCCAACTTCAATAAAAAACATTCTGTGGAATAAAGGAGAGATTTCAGTAAAGCTTCAGTGAGTTTTTATAACTGTAATTCAGTTCCCAGGGCTGTACTTAGGAGTGTCACTACTTCCATTATAAACCTCAGTTTTAGGAGCTATAACAAAATAAAACTGTGGAGTTTTACACAAAACTGTCATATAAGAGCTCATCTTGGGAGTCCATATTACAATTTTCGGGGGGAAAAAATACATTTTTGCAATAAATCAAAATGTACGTGTTATCTTAATACTTTTTTTTTTAAGTGTATGACTCATTTTGAGTATATTCTTGTTTGCAGTAAAGAAACATCTCAAAAGAAACTTGATAGTGGGAAAAGCTTGAGCATCCATTGTTTAGAAATCAGCCCTTACAAGAATGCTGACACTGAGAACCTAAAACCAGATAAATTCTAAACAGTTCAGCCAGCAATTTTTATTAAAGATGGCCTATTTGCCAATATGAAGAAGATGTGTTATGTATGCATTTCTTATCAGTGTATGACCCCATACAAAAGACATAGCAATGAGATGACTAAGAATTAAGAGCAGGCTGTGAGTGCATTGGCTAGGTTTGTATCAACAGCCTGAACACAAGTAGTGCAATAAGGTTGAGGAGGAGGAGATAAGATAGCTAGGTTCATTGGGTGATAGGTGTGTTATCCAGGAGTGGTTTTTTTTTATTATTTATCATCTTTTACAGAAAAATTAAATGCTGTACTACAGCCTTCCCCCACTGATTCTGTATTACACTGCCACACCGGAAATCACCTGCACTATGAGATGCCCTGCAAACTTGCCCACAGCAGCTGAGGTGAAGCTAGGGGCTTATCCAACAGAGGAAAAATGCATCCTCATTTCATGAGGGAGACATCATCTCACCACATGACCCAACATACAGTGACTACTCCATTATTACAGTTTCCAAATGCTGCATATGGCTCACTCATTTCTACTGAAATTGAGACTGATTCAGTCCCTGACAATACTAAGATTCTTCTGTCTTAGTTTACTAGTCCTTGTTCTATTTGTGACAAATGCTGGGACTACAGCATCAGTTTACTTCCTCTACTCTCTTCTTTGGTCCTCGCTGCTCTTCGATCTGTTGGAAAACTTCAAACTTATTGTTAAATGTGCTGCTGATTCACCTACATACTCCACAATGTCCTGTTAGATCTTTCTGGGAAATTCCGCCTTCCCATTTGAGGAAATGTCTCATCTTCCTTCAATAACTTCTTGTATAAAACTTATACAGACTATTTTCTCACTTTTATTTAGTGTGTATATGAAACTACTGCGGATGGTGCAATATGATTTGGATTGCAGATAATCTATTGCATTAGTTATCAGGTTATTCTTGTAAGACCTTCTCCAAAATATTCTGTTAAATTAACATCTATCTGGGCAATGCCATGTGGCCTGAAAATTGGCTGAATGAGCAGGTAGAGGTGTCCAGCAGAGTCCTGCAGGAAGCAAAACTCAGAATTCTGGTAATCCAAAACAGCCTGCTGTGCAGCTTACTCATCAAATACCTGTAAAATTCTAAGCTAGTTTAAAATGAAATGTTTAATGACAGTAAAGAGGAAACGGGCATACTTATAAAAGCAAGAAATGTGAGGGGGGAAAAATGCGATCTAGACAGGAGCAAAATTACCTGGAGAAAACAAGTGTGAAAATTTATTGCTTAATTTTCAGGGTAGTTAAGTCAGGATACATTCACTGCAGTGCGATTGTTCAGTTACAGTTCAGTGGACGTGAAGTATCTTACCACTTTAACAGGTAAGGGTTTACTGGAAAACATGCTGATGATGGCATTGGAGAGACAATCAACAACTTGAAATTGCTATCATGATGCATTGAGTGGGATCTGGAGACAGGCACAAATGGCACAATGGTCAGAACGGAGTAGACAGATTGACAAAAGTACAATGTAATGGAACAGTTCATTCTTTTAAAGAAAGGTAACCTTTTTCTTCACAGAGGGACACATACTAAAGTGAACTTGAAATGCAAATTGATCAAAACTAAAGTAAATGAAAAACTAGAAATAAAAAGGATAAAGGAGATACCAAAGCTCACTTTGATATAAAATAATACTTTTCATGGAGTATTATAAATAATTATCACCTGCCCTCCTCAGAGATTTAGGCTGGCTCTCACATAGTAACATCATGGTGGAAGAAAGCATCAATTTATCTTTGTAGCTGAGGTGAAGTGATGACAGAAGTACATTCCAGCTCACTCTGAATTGCTAATAGATTTGCATAGACACTGACTCAAAGCACAGGGAGTGCTTTTTTTCGTTATGCAGCATTATTGATATTATACTCAGAATGTTATATGGAACATGCAAAAAATTGTTGACGCTGCAGTGCAACACACGGAATAGTAAGGATTCTGTCATAAATGCAGGATTAAAATTCCATTAGAGGTTTAAGAGGAGTAGATGCAATAAGAATATTCGAGAGAAAAAATATAGAAGGTAAATATATCAAGCTTAGCCAAGTCATAATGAATAGATACAATACTTGCCTTTATCTATTTACTGAACTATGTATGAAATAGGGCTATTTTTGCACTTAAATGGTAAAAAATAATGAGAAATTACATTAATCCATGAGTACTGTTCATGTATTTTCAAGTTGAGGACTAATAAATCCCTGACAAAAGAGATCTACAAATATTATCACTAAATATTATTTATCACTCCTTTAATTTCAGAAAATGGAGTCTGGGAGAAGCACAGAGAATACAAGTCAACTGGGCAAGCTGAAGGTCTTTGAATTTATTGAGCTCAGGTATGCCTGTGATTATTTTTTTTTCTTTTCTTCTTTATTTTTCCTGGGTTTTTTTGTTGTTTTTGTTGTTGTTTTGGGGGGGGTGTGTGCATTTTTTTGTTTGATTGGTTTTTTTGTTTCCTTTTTCTTACTTCATGCCTCCATTCAGTTAAATTTAACCTCCATAAATGTGAGATCTAAAACTGGGGTCATATGACAACGTTCTGTCTGATTTCTCTCTAGAGCTCTGAATCCCAATTCACCATTCTCTGTGCACAACCATCAGCATTTGGAGAATCCACAGCATGACATGGTTTTCAGGCGTATTGTGGGGCACCATGGGGGCTGGCAGCTCCCTGGGCTGGGGGTGTCAGATACTCCCTGTAAGCCATGGCCCGTCCCACCAGCCAGAGCAGGGAAGGCCAGTGGGCAGCAGGGCCTGGTTCAGCCCCAAGCATCTCCCATTGACTTATGAGTTGGGGATGTGGCAACGCAAAGGGAACCAATGCCAGACTCAACCCAGGGTGGTTGGGCAGGGCTGCGGGGACAGGAATGGAGTCAGCTCAGACCAGGACAGGCAAGAGCACCATGGTGTCATGGCCAGGGCTGTAGCTCAGGTGAAGGCCATGATCTTCAGTTGGAAACAGCTTCCCCTGTATGGAGGTTGGCCCTCACTGAGGACTTTAGTTTCTGTCATTACAGCTTTATTCAAGGTCAGCAGCCATGTGTGCTCCTTCTCAGTTGGCTGGGTGCCCTGTTAGCCACAGGGGACCTCCTCAGATTCTGAGAGGATCCAGGGCAAGGAGGTTATGCTAGGGTCTTACCCAACCCACAAGGGTCCGCAACTTTGTTGGACACATTGCTAACCAAATGTTTGGTCTTGATCTTGCAGATGTTCTCTACATAAGGCATCACCAAAGAAAGATGCTTAGGCCTGGGTTTCCACATCTCCTTTTGATCCTGTTCTCTCTTACATGGAGCAGCCCAAAGTTCACCAAGCCACACACAGAAAGAGCAATCAGACTTTTAAACCTAGTTGTTAAAGCACTTTACCAGAGGTGAAAACTTCAGTGCCCATATTCATCTCAGTACACATTTAGAATTCTGTATAGGGTATATTTGGATTAAATATTTACTCAGCCATTAGATTAAGAGCTCAAACCCATGCTTTACACCACTGGGAGAAGTCCTAGAACTGCAGGACTTGTTCTCTTGTTCTCTCTCTGACGTATGTCTTTTTTTTTTTTTTTTTTTTTTTTCTTTTTTTTTTCCTTTTCCAAAAACCTCACAGAAGATTTTTTCGAAAGTAGAAAATGTCATTGTCAACTACCTTTACAACTTAAGTCCATTTTTAG